CATGAAGTAAACTGTGGAATGAAACCTCAGGATGATCAAAGCCTATAAAGGAGATTGTGTTTGCATTTGTTAGTAGGATTACGCAAAAATCCATGAACAGATAATGATGAAACTTGGTGGAAGGATGCAGTATGGGTTAAAAAAGAAACCACTAAATGTTGGTGCGGATGTAAATCAGGGGCCACATCCAAGAATTTGCTTTCTTTAACTTTGCAATAGGGCATGTTTGGGGGACTGATACTTAGGAGTGCGTTGCAGATCCAAATAAAAATCGAGTGACTTTAAATGAAATTTAAATTAAAGGGGAGTGTTGGGTCTTGGCAGAGGTGTATGCTCCTCTGTGTGCTATTCTAGTTTAATAGACAAATGGACACAGGATTTTAATCAGACCAAGACTTTGGTCTAGCTCTGCTTTTAAAATTACATTTTCAAACCAATTTCCGCACCAATTTATGTTACTGCCAGTACCCTTAGCGCCCAACCCCCCACACCCAAATTTAACCTTTAACAAAAACCCTATGCTCCACAAACCTGTACCAACAGGCCCCAACAACTAATAAATATTAAAATTGGATCTGTTTTCAAATCGATTTTGATTTGTATCGCCCAAATTCACAAATCACATTTTGCCTCTTGGGCTTAACAAGGTGCAGAAATGGATCCCTCTCCCAGGATGGACAGAAAAAGATAGATGAATGTTATTGATTTATTCAAAACAAAACGTCTGACTTTATTTCTTTGTGGGAGTAGACTGAATGATCCTGACACTGTGATTTGCAGTTTAGAGCAGGTGACTGAAAGCAAAATAACCAATCACAGACAAAAGGTCCCTTTTGTTGATCCAATCAAGCACCAACCATGAAGTCTGAGATCAAATCAATATAAATTTAGCCCGGACTATACGCTGCCACATGTGGGTGCTTGGCACTCTATGGGTGCTGGAGAACTGGACCACCCACTCACTTTGTGCCTGTGCCGTTCTTCTATTGCACTCCTGAGATACACATTTACGCAAATATTTCAACTAAACTGAATTAGCAAAATTGTCTCACTGCTGCACCTCAAACTCTTTTTGTATAATTCAATTCTAATTCCTACTCTCCTCTGTTTCTATTCCACCATTTTAACTGTTTAAAAAGTAGTTTTTTTTCCACTGTGGATCGCATCATGTAGTACGAGTTGTACTTCAAATAGGTTTTAAACCTTGAATCTCTACTGTTCCTCATTTGTGTGCTGACTGCATTAATGAGGCTACAGTTCTTGACAACAGGCACTATATACTTCTGTTCATCACATCTGTTTATGTTGCCTAGACCGAAGGACAGACTCCTGCACTACTTCTCCCTGTCTGTACTGGTCGGAGTCCAGATGTTCCCTCAGGCTGCCCTCACATCCGAAGCCAGGCAGACATTATCAGCAGGACCTCAAGACCCGCCTGGGAGAAGAGTTGGACAGCTGCGATCTCCAGCTGGGATTTGTAAGAGTAGTTTATGTCCCGACTATCAGGCTGAGTTGGTGAAACATTTACTGTATCTGAGAAGGTTTCACTGGCTGTAGTATAGCATATACCTGCCTCCTCCATGTTATTAGATGGGACATGAACCCAAGTACAAAGTACACATCAAATAAACTTTGAATAGCATGACACTTTCCCCTGATCGTTACTGCTCAGACTTTGGCTAAATGACAGCGATTGTAACAGGAATAGTTTGGCGTCATTTCTGGAAAGTGGGAGGGAGTTGAGACACGTTGTCCATCTTTATATAAATGTTATCCTCTAGGCTGTCAAAAGCATAACACTGCTTCCCTGTTTAGGAGAATAAGAAGACTGTGGTAAACATATAAAACCTGACGGTAAGGATGGAAAAAGGGATTAATGTCTAGAACTTGTAACAGAGCAATTTGGATTGTGAGATGCTGAGAACATGCACTGCCTGTAATAATCTTTACAAAGCTTTTTGCCTTGTCGGAGTCTTTCCATGGGGACAAATGCACTCAATCTTCCATGGCATTTTTCTATATGGCCTTGTCTGCCACACCTTTTGGTCTCGTGACAGGAATCAGTGACAGAACTTATTATTATTATTTAATATGTGATTAAACATACAGTACCTGGAGCTTTAGATTCTCATCCTCAGAAAAATGATTGCGTACACTGATCCCTTGTGACAGGCAGCTTGTTTTGAAGTTGCAAAGAAATGAAAAGAAACCTAGCTAACATCTTCTGACTAATTTTTATTTCCAGCAGTGTTAGTCAATAAAAAATGTATCTTCTGTGAAAAGAGGCAAGACATTCAGATAAAATAGGAGAAATACTTGCAATGACAATGCTAACTGAGGCTGCTTTCAGACATGCACTGACTTTCCTTGGAGTTTCCCTAACCAGCCCCTTAGTAAAAACTCTGGAAGAAACCCATGTGAGGACAAAGAAAGAGATCCTCTGGAGGATTAACCGTGAATAAGTGGGTGTTTTGATAAAGTGCCTGACACATGCATAACTGAAAAAACATTTTCAAAAAAGCAGTGCCGAATGTGGAAGACATAGGCGAAGATGTTTTTTAGTATGGATGCCGGTGTCTACATTCTGTTAACAAAAACATGTGATCTCAGAATTGGATTAATACATTCCATCCTGCCTCTATCTTCTGCACCACCCCTCGGAAATGTATGTGTTGTTGTGAAAGCCTCTAAGCAGAAAAAGCCCAGCTCCTCAGACATTCTCCAAGGTTCATGCCTGAAAACAGCTTGGCAGTATAAAGTGAGGTCTACAACACATATTATTAATTAATTAATATATTTATATATAATATTTTAATAATGACAGCATGTAGTATGTCAATACTGTTTTCATATATATGCATACCAGATGTGTTATATACACATCTGACCAGAGTGCAGATGGGCGTATAAAAACGCAGGATTCTTATCCACCACACAGGACCATGAAAAAAGATGTAGTACATTCTTCCATCTAAAACAATCTGACACTATCAGCTGTCCCACACTGAGACTCTGAACAGACATCAAGCTGATCCCCAGAGTATTGTTTACAGAGTCCGACAAAATTAACATTGATCAACACACAGAAGGAGTGTGAGCTGTTTTGAATTAAAAACCAGAAATCAGAAAAATATCCACCACCATTGCGTCATATAAAATCCAAGTTTTGGCAAAACTGCTGGTGCTCATTACCAGTTCTGCACTCTCAACTAACCAGGAAGGATATTCTCCTTCAGATAGTCAACATTTTCCACAGAGTACTTACAGTTTAAGGCACAGAAATACAAATGTTTTTCTAAGCACCTGCATCCTACAGAAGACGAGAAATGTGTCTATGCCAGTGGCCACTGATTATTCTTCATTGTGACTGTCTGGTTGGTGTGCTGGAGCTTTTCTGATTTAATGTTGAATCTGAAAGGTCACAATAACTAATAGGAAAGACATAATTATATATGTAGCTACATTAGACACAGGGAAGGTCTCCAGTCTTTAAGAAATCATTTATTTAATTAGCAATGAGGTCTACCTGGTTGTCTACTTATGTGGATAAATCCAGTCCTATATAGATTATTTCCAGGATAGTTGGTCATTTTAATCAATTTCCAGGTTGTTTCTATAACTGGAAAAGAACTCTTTAAATTCCCAGGTTCTGCAGGATGCGTGGGTGAAGCTGTATGGCCTGTGGGTCAGCGGAAGAGCTATGGGGAAAGAAGAAGATGGAGCCAAGCCCATTCAGAGAATAAGAAGAAGTATCATATTGGAGTGAGAGATAAAGAGGGGTCCGTTTTAATAGTATTGTGTAGAGGGGTGCAGCTGTATTGTCTGATGTTGTACAGGTGATTTCAGAGCGATTATAGAAACCACGGTGTATTTTAAAATATCTGGCTCAGGCTGGTGAAATACAGACTTTCCTGTTTAGTAGTAAATGTTTCCAGCAACACAAAAGGCAGAAAATGTAATAGACTGTATCATATTGAAAAAATAATTGAAATGAGTTATTTATGTACATGAAGATATGGTATTGGAAGGACCTGGGGACACTAACCCCAGCTAAAATACAATTGGCCCCTGAAGTGCTCCCACTAATAAATATTTGTATAATATGTATAATATTTGTCACATTTTTGTTTAAATCTGTTATGGAATGTATAGATATGACTTATATCTCTATATATAACTGAGGCTTTTCTCAAAGCTATAGAGCTAACAGTAAACAAGAAATGACTTAAATGGGCACCTTACTGAATCAGAATTGTGCGTGGATGTTGAGATATATAATTTAGAAAAATCCTTGATCTGCCACTGGCTATTTTTAATCTGATCACAAACATTCAGGTCATTTTGTCGCTGATTGGCCTTGGTATAATATGATTATATGCTTTAAGATGTACATTTCAAGTTTCCTGACTTAGACAATGTTGACGTCTTATTTCAAAGTTTCCCAAGACTTAATTCTCTTTCATTTAGGTTTAGGATTGTACATTTTAATCCTTCCCTCAATACCAAAGAGAACAAAACAAATGTAACTCTAATGTCTTCACTGAGACTGTATGTGACGAGTGAATTGCCACAGGACTTATTTCAGTGATAGAGGAATTTGAACCCCTCCATTGTCTTCCTACTCTGACAGCCTCCCCCTCTTAATTCCTCCATCTGTAAATTTTCTGATGCGTGACATTCTGAAGGTTACCTCACATCCTGACCTTTCTTCAAACTTCAATTTTCAATCCCTCTCCAGTCTGTATCCTTTACTGCCCCTTTCCTATCTTTATCAACAGTGTTGTCACACACTAATCGGTCTGACCTTCTTCAGGTTATTTACCAGAGCAGAGCAAAGCATCATTCATGTAACTGTTTTCCTTGCTGTGAGAAAGCATAAATACATATCAAGTTGATCTGGTGTTAATTGGCTGGAAATAGTTTAATCTCTAAAGCAATAGACAATGTTCTTTTAGTGGCAGCATTTCATTGGTATTCATGTTCAAAGAGTTTCTACATACCAGGATCTGACTTGGAGAACGTGTCCACATCCAGGAGACTCCTGTGAAAACAGAAAAAGTGAAGATAAAAATGTATTCTTTCAGCCATTTTTATTATTTTGAGATGATTCCCCTTCGTTCTTTGCTCTCAACTAAGACCCTTAAGGGGCAGATTGAAGTTGTTCCCAAATCGCTGTGAGGACTGACCAGCTCAACATTTTGTGCTGCCGACCTTAACGCAAAAACAAGTCAGGCTAATGAAGACCTTCAGGAGGAAAATGATGAGGAAGGGAGAATAAATAATTTATTGAACTCCCCACTGTAAACAAAGCCCGCCATATGAAACTGACCATGGTCCCTGAACATATACTGTGTTTATGTTTCTACTAATTCCAGAACTCTTGGAACATCTCCAGAACTGTGTGTCCGCTCCACACTTGTGTGTTGTTAAAGCCCCAAGGAAGAAAAGGTGGGAGGTAACAAAATACTTTATTTTTACTGTACCCAAGTAGATTTTTCAGGCATCTGTACTTTGTACATTTGTTTTAATGCATTTGAGGGTAATTCTTTTTTAAGTATTTCAATACATTGCACACATTTCCTATCGACAATATTTAATACTCACATCATTTCTTGCTTTATCCCTGTTTTCCTGTATTTTCTGTAAACATGTTTATTGTATTAAACCAAGAGTGGTTTAAGTTATACTCTTAAATGATCTTAATGTGACATGAGTCTCCGTTCTTCAGAAGGGAAGTTTCATTTCATTTTTATACTTTTATGAGTAAAGAGGTTGAATCGATACTTAAACCTTCACTTGGGTCATTTTCAACTAAGAAAGTAAAGAACGTGTGTTCTCACCTCTACAGGGAAATGCAGTTTCACATTTGGTGTATTAATAAAGTTTAAAGGGGACACATCAACATAAAGGAGCTCTCGTCAGTCACGTCAACAGAAGGTTCACAATAAGGTGTGTTCGCAACAACTGATTTTACACTTCAGGATCCTGAGTCAAGCTTCAACAAGCTTAAAATAAACTGTCCCGCCCAAAGCAAGGTGAGGACCCAAATGCAGATGATGCACATGGAAAGATTAGACAAAGCCTTTATTTTTACTTACAAATATAGTGGAAGTAGTATCCCAAAAAACCTGAAAAGGCAGTAAACACTATAAACACTCGGTACGAACTCAAGGAACAAACACTGAGACACGATGAGATGAACTGGCAGACAGGAGGAAACAGGGATAACAAGAAACAGGTGAAACTAATAAGGACGGGGCAGGTCATCAACAGAGGAGGGAAACCAGACAGGAAGTAAAGTGAGAGACAAGAAAGTAAGTTTTCAAAATAAAACAAGAAACACGGCACACAATATGCAAACAAAGACAAACCCAAAATGAACTAAAACAATGTTCAAATTCAAGTAGATTGTGAGTCCATGACATAACACGTCTTTAAAATTACTTATTCTACTGGAGTATAGAGAAATACTGGTAATATCTGAAAATAAAACATTATAACTATTCACAAGCTTAGGTCACATATAGTGTCATGGGTGTGACCGCAGACTAAAATCTAATCAAATATTTGAAAAAATGAGACACAGCAGGTTTTGCACTTCCCTGAGCAGCATGAAGTTAGGTTTGGTTACATTGGTAGACTTGATTCATGAAATAATGTATAATGTCTATGTAAAGAGGACACATTATTGATTAAAGACTAGTTACTATAGCTCTTCTATGTGTGATCACTCGAGTTGGACTTTGTTGCCAGAGGGCTTAGAGACTCTGATGACCAAGTTTGGCTGCTGCACACATTTTCTGAGAGCCAGAATGTTCAAAAAAATAGTGGCACATTTTAGGAAAAAGAATAATTATCTGTATGACAAATGTAAAGCTACAAAAAGCAGCCATTTAGCTTAGTTTAGCATTAAGACTGGCAAAAAGCTAGCATGGCTCAGCTGAAAAGAAGTGATAATCTGCCTTACAGCATCTCATTACAGATGGTTGTATGTGGGAATGTTTAGTCTGTTCAGTCCCCTGTTATTAGACAATTTAGTCCCATAATCCCCTTAACACAACGAATGAAAAACAAGTCATGTTTTTCATTCATGAATTAACATATTAATAACTGGGCTGTAGAGGTGCTGGTAGGTGGCTCTGACAGACAGAATCAGGTTAGCTTTCTTCTTCTGCTCCATCTTTATATTGAGATAACCAGCTGCTGGCTGAAGCACTTCTTCTTATGTAACTAAAGATCTCAGAAAGAAATCAAACCAAAAAAAGGATGAAAGAGACCGAAAAGTACAATGGCACTCAGTGGAGCGTATACCTCCACGAAGGTCAAACAGTCCTACACATATCCGTCTAGATCTTATAATAGAAAAATAGAAGGCAAAGAAAGTTGTCTGATGATCCAAACTGCACGAACTCAGAGGCTGCAACACCAAAAATGTGCCTGATTTTCACATCAAAATCCAAACAGTATTTCCTGAGAAACAGGAATATGCATCATTTTTATTCTACTTTGTCTATCTGCTGTAACCGTGGAATGTCCCGTGTGTGAGATCAATAAAGTTTTATTACATCTCATCACTTATCTTGAATCGGGTGCAAATCAGTAGTACTTTTTATGTAATCCTGCTGAAAATGTTAGCACTTAGTAGAACACATACCTCCACTATCAATCCTACACATGACTGTCTCGTTTTAATAGTAGAAATATAAAAAGAAAAAAGAAAGTGATCTGATAACATAAAGGATTTATTTGTCATAAAAGATTAAGAAAGGGAAATGGATCAGCCCACATCCAAATGTAATGGGTTCTTCCCAGGCCTAGGCACCATCCCTCCACAAAGCTGGTGGAAATCGATTTAGTAGTTTTTGTGTAATCTTAATTGTTAAAACATAAAACCAACAAACAGACACAGGTGAAAAATAACCTCGTTGGCAGAGGTAATTAAAATACACTGCTGTGCAAAACCATGATGACAATTTCACATCAATACGTAATGTCAGAAATGTCATTTGGGCTGTTTTAATACTTGGGGGGGAATAAAATAAATAAATAACTGTATCTCATCTAAAGGGCTTAGCCTCTGTCAGAGGTCTGGGTTTGTCTAACTCAGGTGTCTGGTCACTTCAAGTCTAGCTGGTCTCAGGAGGGACCATACAGGAGCAGCAACCATTCATTATTCAGGAGTGGATCAAAAAGGCAGTCAGCACACCACCAAGGCAACCAGGCAGGCAGGGAGGCAGGGAGGCTGAAAGTCGGCACAAACCCTGACTGGGTTCCAGTGCTCTGTCAGTCAGATGGACGGTCGGAGAGCAGAGCAGCCAGAGCAGTCAGCCATTCAGTCATGTCAACCTGCCACAACACACCAACAACTGGGCACATGTATGAGCTGTTGAAAACATTCCACTGCTTTTATGCAATAGGTCAGCCATAGAGCATAAGCCATTGTGGCACACAAACGATCCCACACCTACGCTCGACTATGCCTGTCCTGTGAATATCATCTGCTGGGGGTCACAGCATGGCTGGAAGCAAATCAGGAGCCAGAGTCTATAAAGGGTGTTTAATCGCTTTGATGCATAAAGGCAGCAGGTGATGAACCATTTACGGATACCTGAAGGGAAATGTCAGGCATGAAACACAGTGAGGGGTCTGCTCACAGCACCTGAGCTACAGCACCTCACATATAGATAGATAGATAGATGTGTGAACATATAAATGAGTAAGAGCTTACCTGCATGATACGGTAACTTCTATTTTAGTTGCAGGGACTCTGGTGTTGAGAGGGTCAAATTCCCCTATTGATGCCATCATCTCGACTCAACCAAGACGCATCCGCCAAGAAAGAAGAACAAACCAAACTGATCATTTACAACAGGACTGTGGTTGCAGTAAATCCATTGTCGAGGTCTTCTGGGGCACAGAGCAGCGGAGGAGAGGAGCGGACAGAGAGAGAGAGAGAGAGAGAGAGGACCGGCAGAATGAGAGAGAAGGAGAGGGTGAGAGGCGGTGAAAGTTGGGGAGGCAGATTTAAAGTTCATCCATCCTTCATGCGCTCACGGTGCGCGCCCCGCGTCTGTCCGGTGACGAAGAGGAGGAGGAGGAGGAGAGCGCAGCCAACCGGAGGCACCGGCAACAGCACTGTGCTCTCCTCTCTCTCTCTCTCTCTCTCGCTCTCTCTCTCTCCGTGTGTGTGTGTGTGTGTGTGTGTGTGTGTATACCTGTTACCTAGAATGTTAACGACCTTGTCCATTGCTCACACTGTGAAAGTATTTGTATTACAGTTTTCACCAGAACATTTCTCAGATGTTCTCTCTTCTTCCTCAGCTAGAATTCAATGTCGAAATGATTGACTGTCAAGATATTCTGTTCAGTGGCACCATTAAATAGCTTAAGCTATATATTTATTTTGTTATATTTTTAATTTTTAGATATATGTTTTCAATGCATTTAAATTTCAGAGTCAAGACTGGATTAACAAAGAAGAGAAATCTGCAGATAACATCTCAGAAATATTACCTTTCAGAGGCTGGTGCTATAAAATGAATATTTGATCTTTTTTTACTCAGAATGTCCCAAACAATAGCATTTCTTTAATTTATTCCTTTACTTGGTTAATTTCCATATGTTTTTAAATAAACTGATCATGTCAGCACCATTGGTTTCTGGTGCTTGGGGAAATAATGAACCTGACATGTGTGGTGGGGTCAGTAGGTCCTTAAAAAATACAGAAAAACCTATTTTGCCCCATTAGCAGCTTGTCGTTGATGTGTGTCATCAGAATTCCATTTCCAAGCTTTTGCAAAAAAGAGCTGTGTTTTGAAAAAGCTGTTTTTCTTATTGAGGGGGGGAAACAAGATATTTAAGAATCAGCCAAACATCATTGAGGAGTGACAACAAAAAGACATGTTAATGTTTAGTGAGAGGTTAAAATGGTGATGGAAGGGGTACAACAAAGAAGGGTTTAAGAGGGAAACACAAGAGACCACAGCGACTCACTCTCCTGTAAAACATACAGAATGAATCATTATGTGCAACAATAGACCATCTATGGATTGGTTCAGAGGTAATGGACAGTGAGCGTGATTGTATCAGCTCTCCTTTAGCCTTGTCACACAGCAGTAATGACCAATAGATGTTTAGCTCTGTGTGTGTGTGTGTGTGTGTGTGTGTGTGTGTGTGTACGTGCCTACAGACCCACTAAATTTTGCAGCTGATCAGGCAGAAATTGAAATTTTTCATGGGTAGCATGAGAAATGGGGAGTGAGGTAGAAATGGAGGCAGACGAAGACAGAGTAACAATGAGGCCAGATGAAGAAGAAAAAAAAACAAGACAGAAAAATGGAGTAAATGAAAGAGTACAGTGAGAGACAGAGGGGAAAGTCCAGTTATTTACTCAATTTCCACTCTGCCGTCTCTGGGTGACCTGTAAGAGGATGTGCGATTGGATGATAAAGTGGACAGTGTGTGTGTGTGTGTGTGTGTGTGTATGGCAGCTAATTATCCAAAGAGGAGAAATCCTGTTTAGTTTTCATTTCACTGCAGAGCAAAGCAGGTGTCTGACAAACAGTGAAAGCCTCCAGCACAGCTGCATCTTGCACAGCCTACACATGTGTATCAGTGTCTTTGGCTGCCAAGAGGACATGATGCTTCCAGACGTCAGCATGTTCCCCAACATCTACAATACCAAATTATAATCAGATTTCTGCAAGGATAGTATGCAACGCCACATTTACTGACATCATTGTGTGTGGCTACAGGTTGACTTGCAGTCCAATACCTCTCTTCTGCACACCTCATCTGAACAACAGCTCCTGCACTCATGCCACATTAAACCGACTGAATTTACTAGTTAATACTAAGAATGATATAGAATGAAGTTACCGCCATTGAGGTGCCCTCAAGCAAGGCATTCCTCTGCCTAAAGGTCAACAGCTCTGACTGTGGTTGTTTAACATTTAACTTGGTCTGAATATTGTGAGTAGTATAATATAAAATATCATATGTGGTGCTACATAGAGGTTCTTAGAAGTTTCTAACAAGTGAAAAATGTGTGCAAATGTGTAAATCTTTAATGTAAAGTCAATGAGTTTGATTTACATACAGTATGTGAATGTGAAAAATTGTTTTAGATTAGAAGTATTCATGCAGCGTAAACTGAAATATCTGATTATGCTAATGACGGCGATGTTAGTTAATTTATAAAACCATTATTGGGAGAAGGATTTGTAACCTCAGGTATGCTGTGTTATTTAAGATCTAATTATATTCATTTGGAATATGATGCAGATGAGTGACTAAACAAAAGTAATCATCTACATTTTTCCATTTATTCAGCAGCTGAACACACTTGTGGTGTTCTAATGAAAATCAAATATTGTTTTAACAGTTCGCCCCTCAGCGTTACACAAGTTCCCACAAATGTGTTGCACACACATTCTGTCCACTTCATCCACTCAACCCAATCACTGGGATTATGTCCGGAGACAAAGCAGTGAAACCACCGTCTTGTTCTTCTTCTGTTGTGTTGTTGTGTGGAAATGTAGATATTTGATCATCATCGAGACAAAGTCTGTCCAGCAGTTTGGTTTATAACAAGGTACATATCATTACACTACAATACTAGAAGATTAATTCAAACATGGGTGGGATTCTTATTCGAACTGTAATATAAAAAGATACTGTTTTGAAGCTCATCAGATTGTCTGAAGTTGCCTCATGATCCAGTAGAGGGCGATCACTGTCAGCTTTACCTATTGGCTGCCCTCTGGACCTACATATAAGTTAGTAATGTGACGTTGAAAATGGAGGATCAACAGTGCCTGTGTGTGCAGTGGGGCTCAGTCGTGGCTGTGTTGTTGTTATCAATGCATCTGATCGGAGAATCTCCTGCTTCTGTATTTAAATGCAAAAAAGAGACTCCAGATAAAGTCCAGTGTGGATTCATTCATTCTCTTCATGTCTGAAAACAGCTTAAAGAGTCATGCAAAGGTTTTGAGCCACAAATAGCAGCCAGCGGAGCTTCATCAATCTCTGAACAGAAGGGATATACACCAACTTTCATAAAGACATTCCCTCATTGGGTGTTGTGATGATGGTCGTAGAAAGCACTGTTGAACACGTTGGTCTAAATTCTCCCATAGGTGGGCAATGTCATTCTGGAGCAGACCCCCTCTCATGAGGAAATAACTGCTCCACCTCAGGATAAAGGTGATCACTCTGAACAAATGACCCCAAATACCCTGAGAGGACAAAACCATCCAGAAAAATGCCCCACACTGAATAACAGAACCACCGGACCCCTCACTGTGGGGGTCAAGTATTGAGCTCTGTACTGTTCACTTGGTGTTCGCGGATGCACTCGCCCACTTATGGAGAATATGTTGGAGGATTACTCATCTGACCGCATCTCTGTGTAACAGTGCTTATAGTTCTTGTACCACTGAGTTCTCAAATGTGCATTCATCTTTGTTCTGAGGGCTGATGAGTATCATGATCATCGAATGTGCACTGTTGACAAATGTTCCCAACAGTATTTACTGAGTTCTTTACAACAGATTGCTTCATGCGTATGCTTTGTGTGTACTGTATCGGCCACGGAAGGAAGCCAGCAGAAAAAGAAAGGAGAAGTACTGGCTGAGGTAACTACACCTGCTGCGGTGTATGTGTTATGGAAGCTCGAGAGAAGCCAGTGCTGTTGTGAGTGGGTCCACAAGCCCAGAGAGCACACAGCTCTGAGACTCATGGAAGCAGCAGCTCATCTCGTTTCTGTTGCATTCACAATTTTCTCTGATTAAGATGTAATGAGTGCACCAAATGAGATGCCTCCTGGTTAAACAGTACATGTCTACCCACAGATACAAACAAGCATGCTCTGATTAGAGCAAGGCAAGCATTAAAACATATTGTCAAACATTCTATACAACTGCGCGAGCAGAGGAAGTGATGTAGGTCGCGTTCAAACGGAAAAACCATGAAAGTAAAATATATGAAAAGCATTGACTATAAATCTTCATCACAGATAAAGCAGGTAGGATGACCTTCACTCTGCACCATAGACTGTTTATAAAAAGCTCTGCACACAACGTCCAGCACACAAACAATACAAAGTGACTGTATATTGTAGAACTGTTTGAGGAGGACTCACTAATGACAAGGAATAATTCTGAAGTAGCTGCAGAGCTTTAACACAGGACAAGAAAAACAGAACATTACAAACAGGCAGGTTTAGAACGGACTGTACTGGTGCAAGAAATGAAGCTCAGATACCTCAAAGAATGGACATGGAAACAGTGTGTGTGCTGTTTCTGAATGTATAGCCTTGCAGAACATGACACTGCCCTATTTCCAGCTCCAATCCCTGTTTAAAAATGTGTTTGATGATGTGACAGCATGTTTGATTTGCTAGGCTTGCATCCGAATGCCCCCAAAACTTCGCAGCCTACAAGAAGCTGGACCAGCAGCTCCGCTGAGGATACGACTCGGGCAATGACTCAATAAAGCAGCTGAAGGAGAAGGAAATGAATATTGAAGTTGTGTGACAACCATCCCAGACCAGCCACAAAAGAAGTCATAAACTGATGGCTGGTTCTCAGTTATTGTTTCAGGGTTCAGAGTGTGGAGTGAATTCTGATGAACTCACATCAAGATTTTCTCTGCATGTCGCTGATCCTCAGTGGAAACAAGGAGCAGGAATCAAATCAGACACACAAACAATTATGTCTGTACCCAGCAATATTTACTTATTGTTGGGAAACTGTATAATTTCCAATTGTTGTGTTTGTCCCTCTTGAAGGCTGAGCTA